GTCAAGCTACAAAAGGAATACGGTTTTAGCCGACCGCTTGATGTGACCTCCTATGAATCGATTGTAGGAAGCCTACTTTATGCTGCAATCGCAACTCGTCCAGAAATCGCCCAAGCAGTGGGAGTTGTCTTCCTTCATCAAAGGCACTTCGTCGAAAAGATGCTCGAGAAGTTTGGGCAAACTGAAGCAAAACCGGTGTCTACACCTGCTAATTTGAACGTCAAGCTACAAAAGAAAGATGGTTTTAGCAGACCGGTTGATGTGACCTCGTATCAATCGATTGTAGGAAGCCTTCTTCATGCTGCAATCGCAACTCGTCCAGACATCGCCCGAGCAGTGGGAGTTGTGTCGAAGTTCTGTGCCAATCCCACACAAAATCATTTAACAGCAACAAAGCGAATCCTCAGATATCTGAAAGCAACTGCATATCTCGGATTGAGATACAAATGCTGATGGAAATTTCATTGGTTATTCAGATGCAAATTGTGCGGGTGATATGGATGACCGGTTTTCCACTTCAGGAAACGTGTTCTCACTGGCTGGTGGGGCAGTAAGTTGGCTAAGCAAAAAGTAGGCTACCGTCGCATTGTCGACAACAGAAGCAGAGTATGTAGCACCCAGTACGGCCACTCAGGAAGCAGTCTGACTTCGAAGGTTGTTGGCAGACATGGGAGAACCTCCAGAGGGACCAACTGAAATATATGAAGACAACCAAGGGGCTATTTCGATAGCTAAGAGTCCCGTGGGCCATGCCAGGACCAAGCACATCAATATACGTTACCACTTCGTTCGCAAAAGAGAACAAGACGGAGCGATCGCTTTGAAATATATTGGTACACACGAGATGATTGCTGTCATCCTTACGAAACCTTTGCCTAAGCATCGCTTTGAGAAACTTGTTACTAAGCTGGGCATGAAGACTGTCAAATAAGCAACGTCAAAAGTGGGAGTGTTGTTATTATGTATATTATGATTTGACCGTTGTCATTTGAATTTGATATATTTCACAGGAATTATTCATTTGACTTATGATTGGTCCAGGTGTTTCTTTTCCTTTTGTTATTCAAACTTTTATTTTTTTAAATTAGCATACAAATTTTTTTTTCTCTCTGTGTTGTAACCGTCTTTCTCATTTGAGCGGAATAAGAGTTTGTTTGTTTGCATTTCATTAATTCTTCTTCGTCCTCTTTACCAGTGATAAGCCCAAGTTCCTGTGATCTTGAATCATTTCGCACTCATTCCCAAACGATTTCCCTCTTCACAGAGTCATTTTCCACCAGGTCTTTCGTTAAGCTAAGTACATAACTAGTTTGCTCGTCGGTAATCTTCCTCCAAAATCGTGAGGAATCAGATTGTAGGGAGAAGGCGTTGACTGGACCAGATACATCACTCTCGGACTTTGTGAGGGCGTTGACTGGACCAAATACATCACCCTCGAGCCTATTTGAGGAAAGAGAGCTACTAACCTTCTCTGTGCTTGTCATCTTCTCACTGGGATGTGAGATGTCCTTTCTTTGTTCCGCGCTTATTCGCCGGAGCTTTAAGACGATTGCTTTGAATGAATGCACTTTCAGCAAGTTTGTTGTCGACACTTTTTCATTTAGTTCACCCTCATCATGATAGCCCCAGTTGCAATGTCTTCTTGGAATAGTTGTTGAAGTTTTTCCTCTTCCTCCTTTGTACATGAGGTAAGCTTCTCTTCTTTCGCGTGAGTCTCAAATCAGTCTCAGATACTATTTCATGGACGCGGTAGTAGTCTGCTTGCGTTCGTGTCATGTGTTGTGCCAGGGCAGCTAAATGTTCCTGCTCGTCGGGCATGCATGTGTGCATTTCAGTAGCGAGGGATTTCCTGACTATTGTTGCGCACATCCTTCCTTTTGTCGCTATACCTTCTCGCTGGCAAGTTCTGTAAACAGAAGTAGACACTTGCGGCGACGTTAAGGGTATGCCATTACTAGACACGAATACCTGCTCGACCTTTGGATCCAAGGTAGTATTTTGACTTCTTACAGTTCTTAGGTACATCTCTATTAGCTTGTACAAGTCATCGTAGAGCCAGACGACTGCTGCACCATACACTCCAGCCGTTTTATGATCATTTACCAGTATCCTGTATCGTGCTGGGTCTTCAACTGTTCCAGGATAATAGACAGCCTCCTGAAACTCACTTATCTTTATATCTTCAAGTTTCTTACGACATATATGAAATTATTCGGTTTCCGATTTTTAAACAGAATCTAAAATCGATACCATTACCACCCTGTCGATCGGTAACAGGCTGGGCCTCCGAAAACTAGTCTAATTGATGTGTTGAAAAAGCTTAATTGAGATTTATTGTTGCATGAGAGTACATTTTGCACGAAATCCATAGAAAATCGCGATGAAATACATATCTGGGTAGTAACGTAATTGCAACCGTAAGAAATACTCCCTGTGCGTATTTGCTGCAGTGGAAAATATGTACCTTTGCGTAACAAATACCCACTCCGTATTTGCTATTGTAGCAAATACCCACCCTCCGAATTTGCTACCGTAGCAAGTATTAGCTTACGTAGCAAATACCCACTCATCGTAGCAAATGAACACATCAATCTAACTCTCTCTCTCTTTCTTTCCCTTTTAAATCCCTTTGGATTCCTTTAAAAACTGGTATCGAAATGAAATTTGTGGTAGCAAATTACGAGTTATTAAACAGGTTGAAACGTGGCCTAAAAACTGTTTGTAAGTTAAAAATCCTTCACCAGAAGCAACTTTGAAAGTAAAAACGTGAGGTACTTGTTCACATTTATATTAAATTAAATTTACTATCTGAAATCCCCAAAACAATTTAGTCGTTTTTAGACCCCAAGCGATGTTTTGAGTTCTACGATCTACTATAAATATACTTTCGGCAAGTCAGTTGAAATTTGGACTTTTTATTGTCAGTTGCACAACAAAAAAACTGAGGGAATTATATGGCATGAATAAATGCAGCATTAAATCTCTTGTGTCTGAATAGTGTCTCATTTGACTTTAGTTTTTCGGTGTGAGAACGACAAGATTTGAACAAACAAACAGACTCTCACAACTTCAAAACATACATTTAAAAATGGTGACACTGACTCTCTTTGTCACCTAAAACTAAACAGCGATAAATCTACGTGGATTAATCGCCAATGGAAGTGTATAATACTCTCCTTAAGTTCACTGATTGTTTTTAAGAAAACATCGTCATGATAATCATGTTGCAAAGATTGCTTGGAAGCCCTTTAAATTACCTTTATCTTTACGCAAATAAAACTGTTTGGGTGAAGCCTATCTCTTTAATTTGCATCACCTCTTTTTTCTATACTATCTACTCGGCAAAATTTTTTTCAGTTTATGGCCGGGAGGATCTTGCCGTAAATACAGTCCTAAATCATTCGGGGTCTTTTTTTGAAGCATTC